CGACCGTTACTGGCGAGAGGACACAAAGGAGGATTGAATTTTGCTGGAAAAAAAAGTCCCACGCTATTGAATTTGAGAACCCGAAGGAGATTCAATTAATTTCTCTCATGGATTACAGTCGAATTCAAGAAGGATTCGTCGGGGAAAAAAGTCCCTTCTTGAATGGATTTTCAATCGAGAAAAGGGTTTTGTGATATTGTCCTGAGCTCAATTCCCGGATTTGGTGATTTGTTTGCATGTAAATAGTGTCTTAGGAGGACTTTCTCAGTACATTGCTGGCTCTTCTGGGAATTCCGAGAGTGTGACTCTGCATATTGGCGCCATATGGACGATAAAATCTCCTGGAGAAAGGCCGAAGGACATCCCTCCGTAAATATGGCATATGGCAGGAGGAGAGCCTGCAGTAAATTCCTCGCTTCTGAGCCATAAAAGCCATGGAAAAACCCAAGGCATTTGTCTAACTGATGGGATAATGCGTCCTTCGCGGGATGTCTCAATGGCAGAATCACCGGATTGAGCGTGCAATTGATAGATCAAGATCGAAGGGTGAAATGGGAAAAGTTAAACCTCAGCAGTGGCAGAAAGTCTCTACTTACCCTCACCCCGAATCACCCCCCAAAAAAAAACTCATCCATCGATCGCCGGTGATCTTGCAAACCTCACAGTATATCATCTTACAAACATCGTGAGCGATTGTTTGAACCCCAAGAAATGCTATAATGTGATATTCCTCAGTCACTTCTCTGCCAAATAGTGTGATGGATTGTTGTTGGACTGTCAAGGGAAGCGCCAGAAAAGGGATGGAAATCTAAGAAATTGTGTAAATATCCAATTTCCTACTCTCCGTCTCACAACACTACCTGAATATTTGCATAAGCCCTCGGCAAAGTCCTCTTTCCCTCAATTGACCAACATCTGGAAGCGCCATGGACTTCTTCTCTATTGCCCACTGTAAATCTTTGCAAAAAAGAGTCCTTCGCCTCCCGAAGAGTGTCAAGAGAAGCATTTTTACACCCATTGAACTCATCTTTGAGGCTCCGTTCTTCGGCAAAAAAGTGTCGATTTGTGTCGCTGAGCGACTAGAGGTGAGCTTCTAGATAATCACTGGACCGTGTGTGTGAATTTCTGTGAGAAATCCTACGGGATGATATCGCGAGATGCTTCAGCGACTTCCTCGAAGGCAAATTCCTAGAAAATTGTCCAAGGATTTCGAGGAATTGACGCGGTTTTTTCCATGATCTGCGCGGATTCTCGTGAAATGTCTCGAAGACGAACATGTTAAAGCGTCTTCCTGGATGAAAATACACTGTGAAGAAACATCTCATGGTATTCCAGTAGAGTGTCATAGGAGAATCTCATGTTAACATCAGGAAGAAATTCTGCGATTATGTGAATTTATTGAAGGATTTTAATTGCAGATTATCCACATTTCGTTACTTGATAATCATGAGACGTATTGTGGTAAAAGCATAAGACATTCTAATGAATTTCCGAAGGACTGTCTTATGACATGTAATTAAACTCTCTTTATTCGTATATTACAATCTTCTTCGCATTTTTTTAAGCACTTTTGGCATGTCTGACGTGAAAGGGTTGAAGCAACATTCTTGAAATTTGTGAAAAGAGTGTTAAAAATTACTATTTACAGGCGATATAATTACAACTTTCACAGCAACACACAATAAAAGATGCTACAATGTTGGGAATATATTGAAAAATCTCCCGTGAATCCACCACAGAGTTGCTGAGTGAATCAGTTAATGAGGGAGAGATTGGCGTCAATCTGCAAGCTGTTGCACCCTCCAGTTGATTTCTGGACAAAAATCGACTCCAATTATATTCATTTCTTGCCTGCTGTTCCACTATCGTCGTTTCCTCCATTCCAATGGACTCTCTTGGGCATATCTATGGCGCAGATTTTCCCCATAAAGAAGAAACCATCTCTAACATATGCCATCTAGTCGCCGCTCTAAGTGATTGCTCACAAAACTCTGTGCTACATTGTTGGGAATTTATTAGCCTCAAATCGTGGCCACCTTGCCTGGGAAGTTGACTTCTCTTGCGAAGGCACGCCAGATGATCTCGGGACTCGGGCGAAAATGGAGCATTTATCGGCTGACGCCTGTTTCTCGTCCACCCAGGAAAGTCTTCGCAACATGGGCGGATCGCGGCTGAAATCCACCACGAGAGGCTCGTTAGTTTCAGGAACATCTCTATGGAGGGCCATAATTTTGTGGTCGCCAAACTCTCTGAATCTCGATATGAAATCAAAAAGATCTCATGCAAAACTTCTGCCTGGTGGTTTTTTTTTTCACCCAACAAAAGGCCAAAAACTTAGCGGACCAACTGTTCTTCCGCAATGCAGAAGAATTGTATTAGAAAAGATGTGTTTTTCTATTGAAATCTAACAAACATCTGACTGTTTTTCAGGCAAATGGGGCAAATGGCTTTGGCCAAAAAAAAAATCTTATCACTCTCACTCTGTTCGGCGAGGAAAGAGGAGAAGTAATAATAAATGTGGAACAATAAATACAGGAGGACTCAATGTAAAAAGTGGGCCGACAAAAAAGAATAAATTATTTCAAAGGGTTTTTCCAGCTGATGCCTGACAAAACGGACAAAATGGATCTCAAAAATCCCTCGGGAGGAAAAAACAGGCCACATTTGGAGGCTCTCCTTAAGCTGGATCGTTGCAACTGCTGGCATTGAAAAAAACACCTTCAAAGCATGTTTTTCTTTGAAGCCTCAACCAGCTTTCATTGCTCCAGGAAATTAGCTTCCTCCCGAGCGTCTATTTCCATGACAAAAGGGAGAGGAAAAGGATCGGAAAGATCGTTGAATCAACAAGTCCGCCCATTTCGTGCAGATTTTTGGCGCAATTTTCAGGTTGATTCGCTGTTGCATTTCGCATCTTCTGACGAGAAATGATGATCAAACAGGCGCTTCCGGATCCTTCAGTGCCTTCAGTGTCATGAAATATGATCTGCACTTCGTTGCTTGCATTTGCGATGATCGTATCTGCAGCAAAACACCTCTGAATTTGTGATTCTAGCGATCTTGTGATCGTGAAATCCCCCAAAATCCAGATACGACCATCGCAAATGCAAGCGACGAATTTATTTCCGGTGTGTTGCTCATTTTTATTGACTCTCCCGACGAAGGGAGCGCTCAAGGTGTTCCTCAGGGTGGATTTTTGCATAAGAAGTGTCTCTCTGTTTTTTTTTGTGCGATCGCGCATCTCAAATATCAGTCGAAGAGATCAGAGTTTGGAGAGGGAAAAAGTCCGGGTGTTCCGTCAGAGTCTGTTTTGGGAGTTTGTAGAGAAGCGAAGGCCAGGTAGAAAAGATGCAGCAATCCTCGGCCAGAGATCTTCAATTTTACGTCCATCGTGGGACATCTGCTTTCCACGGCGAACGGCGGGAAGAAGAGAGGCGACGAGAGAGAGAGAGTGTCTTGAGGAGGAAGAGAAGAGATCCCATTGAAGGTCGCCATTGGAGATCTATCGAGAGCAATCTACGCACGATCCGAGGCTTTCTCGGTGGATTTTCGGACGCGTGGCTCAATTGGCGATTGAATTAATTGCACTGACCGCGCCGAGAGAGGTTTTCGTTGATCCTCAAAGCACGACAATTGCATCTCTGTCGCGCACACTGATTTCCACCGCAGAGAAATCACATCTGCCCGCGTGTGGCAATTTTCATAAATTGCTCGCTCATCGATCGCCCGATCAATTTTATACCATGACGATCGGTCGCTGTGACATTCCAGCGTTGTCGCGAGCGCCAATTTGCCAAATTACGGCCGCGCCCGATTCCGCCCCACGGGCGCGCATTGATACATTTCGGCCCCGTGGCGCATAATCGATGAGACGTGAGGCAGGCGATCGTGAAAGTGACACACGCAGATGCGACACCCGGCAGATTTTCCACTTGATTTCCGCGCCCAAAATCCGCACCTGCAAACGCAGATCGATCGCGCCAGGTGATCAAGAGGATCTCTTGGGGGAAATGATGACATTTCTGCCATACTTTCTCAGGCAATTTCCACCAAGTGATCAAGCCATGGGACGATCGGTGATCTTTGGCGGCATCGCGAATTTGACCACTGATCGCGTCCTGTGAAATTGCGTTAACACTTGACGCACGCGGAATGTTGGAAAAACAAGCAAATTCAAGTGTTTTTCGTACGTTTTATGGATTAGCGCTATTTTTGTCGCAGTTTTTAATGCTTTTTAGCGTGAAAGAATGAAATAATATTGATAAAAACTTCTATTTTTGACATAAAAACAATTTTTTTCGGTAAAATTTAGTATATTTTTACAGTTTTTGCTCAATTCTGAATGAAAACCGCCATAATTTCTTGCATAATTTCAAGATTCGCTATAAAACACTTTATAGAGTTTATTCATTCTTTAATTCCCTCCCCAAAATCATCGGTATTGCGAGTGTTAAGAACTTTGGCGAAGCGCGGCGGACTTTCGAAAAACGCGGGTCGAGCAAAAGAACAAGCGATCAAACCGGAAATGGAATTATAGTGGCATTTATCTCGCTGGCTGCAATTAAAAGCATGGCAAGAAAGGTAATTGCGGGTCGTAATGACAATTGAAATATTTCTCTCTCTCTCCGCCGATGCTCAGCGAGACCCGAAATTCTGCGCGGGGCGCGCAAAAAGCCACGCGACCGGTTGCGCCCGATCACGTATTGGCTCTCTGGTGCGGAGTTAATTAATAAAACCACCAATTTATGGTGAATTGACGGGGTGAATTGGATCTTGGGGGCTGCTTTCCGTGGGCCGCGGCCGTTAGGGCGATTCCGGGCTAATTGCGCGCGGAGGTGAGTAATTGGCCAAGGAAGAGGCGCGAGCGATGCGATGGCGGCGCCGCGCCGTGGCGGAGACCGGCGACTGCTGCCCCTTCTTGCGTGTGTGCGCGCACGAGTGGTGGGGGAAAGCGCTGCTCGGCGGCCGTGGCTTCTCCTTCCCGGCCGAGCGCTCGTCAGTTGCTTGGTGTCGTTTCAGTGCGCTACACTGTACGTCAGAGACTCGGTCTTTCGCCCTGAGAAGTCAGCTCTTGAGCACAGAAGAAGCCCAAAGTCCTTCCCAAGACTCGAGGCGAGGATATCCTGGAGAAGTGTTGGACGGTATCGTGAGTGCTTTGAGTGATTGCGAAGCCATAAAAAGGATAATAATTAAGGATTACGCGGAGAGCGAGTGTGCATGAAAGATGGGTGATCCTCGCGTGTGACCTCAAGTGATCGTGACCTGCGGATGCAGAATGCATCCTCGTGAGTCAATTCATGGATTCAGATACCTTTGTTCCGTGGCCAATTTGCGAGTGATTCCACAACAATCCTAAAAAAGTCAGAGTTTTTTTCTTTTTGCTGGCAGTTTTAGGAGAAAATTCAAAGTTTCTGTTCTTCTCTATCTCTCTCTTGGTGAAATTACAAGAAAAATACATATAAGAAAGGAGAGAAAAAAAAGAAGAAAATTGTGTGCCTAAAGAAAGGGGGAGGAAAAACCGCATTTTCATCGGCATTTCTTGTGGATTAATCAGCCTTAGTCTGCAACGATGAATTGGATTAATTTAACTTTAGCCCTGTGGATTCTAACCATCTCGATGGTTGTTCAGGTAAGAGTGCAACTTGTGATCGCTGATTGAGATCATTGGAGATTATGCAGAGTGTCATTTAGTCAGTGAAATGCAATCAAGTGTCGCGCAACATGATTTTCCAGCAGATTTAATTCTAATCGCGCTGTGCGTTTTGTGTTTTGCGTGTGGGATTTTTCGGTACAGAATTTAATAATTGTTGCAGCGAAGAAATCGCGCACGACAAGTGATTGAGCGCTCGCGCGCACAATTTTCGGCTAGAGAAAACAGTCTCAACATTCCGCTAGACAAATGTAATGAGAAATTGTTGAGGCAAAAGATATCGGGCGCCTAATGAGCTGCGCGAAGGGAAAATCTATGCAGTCCATCTTCGCGGCCTTTTTCCGGCCCTGCAAGCTTAAATCACACACAACTTGGCAATATTATCGCGGCTCTCCTATGCAACATGACTGCACAAACTCCTCTTGATCCCCGGCAAATAAAACATGCCTCATGGTTGGCAACGAAAAAACGACTCCTCCGAATGCACGGTGTGTCCAAGAAGCATCGGCCAAAGAGGAGGCATGAATAGAGTTGGAACCAGAAAGTGTTCCCAGTGAGAGCGACTGGCAGAGCAACATCTCTCGCGGATCTCTTGTGTTGGTCGCACCAACACACAGCTTGCCAGGCGCGCTCGCAAACGGTGATCGAAGTTTCTTGCTTTTAAAAAGAACGAATTGGAATTGTTTCCCACGGCATGCGATTCGCCGGTCAAATCAGGGCTGTGCTCGTCATTTCCAGTCACTTTTTTCTTCTTCTGTGTGTGTGCGCGAGGAAAATTCCTCAGCGGATTTTCCACACACTTCGACACGGTGTTCGTGATGTGGAAGGGTGGCGCGTTGGGGGGGGTGTTTGAGGGTAACAAGTGGGTGGCAATTCCCACCCTCTCTCTCTCTCTCTCACGTGTCACACCGTCACGTGGCGGCGTTTTCCGGCCATTTCCACCGTCCACGTGGGTGAAAAAATCACACGCAACTCACTGTCCAACCCTGAAGTCTAATCACAGCTCATCGAATGCTTTTACCATTTTATTGTGTGCTCAGAAAACGGATGAATGAGGTGGAAAGAGAGAGAGAGAGAGAGAGAACAGGAGATGCACAAGATGATGAGGGAGAGAAAAATTGAGGCAAAAAGGCCCCCCAAATGAGACAAACACACGTTTTTTGGGCAAAAATAAAGAAGTCTCTATTTGTATATAATAAAATGTAAATGTAGAGTTTTGTGGATGATAAAAAATTGATTTTAAAAGTATAATTAATTGCAAGCGATTAATTTTATTCAATAGACACACGCAGATGATTGTGTGGTGGGGGAAATGGCCGCGCATCAATTTTCTGTGTCAATATTTCCTCATTTTCAAGCCTAATTAAGATCGCGCGAAGATCGCGCTCGTTTCTGCACTTGATCTCATCTCGCTGTGTGTCCTTTTCGGCTTTAAAAATTCATAATTTATGCCACCTACTTCATCACTTGCGCCTCTCTCGCTCTCTCTCTCTCTCTATTGCTCAATTGTGATCCACGGGAGCCATAAATATTACGGGTGTCATCGATAAATCACAGTCGAGTGGGGCTTTTTTTCCCCCGACCAGCTCACAAACGGGCACAAATATGCGCAAAAAAGTCTCCGGTACTCATGAAAAATGGACGAGGAATACAATGTGTTCAGTTTGATATCCTCCTTCTGCCCATTTTCCCACCCCCTTGCGCGCAAAAAGAGCCCACCCTTTATCAGTGCGCGGAAAAGAGCCGCGATCATCGATGAGGCTCTTTTGTTTGAGCCACTCGAGCATTGCGCGCCTGGAATTTGTCGAGAGTGTGAGATTTTCAATGGCATAAGTCAACAGTCTCGAGATCTTATGCTAACTTATTTGTTCAAAAAGTTTCTCTATTTATAGACCCATCTCACTCTGTGTCACATGAAGCTGCCTCAGGCGCTCCTCTTTTTGCCTTCTTGTGCGCCTCCTTTTGCAAAGCAGTCTCAGAAATAGCCTCTGAGATCTGGCAAAGCGACGTCCCTGAATTTTCTGCAACCACAAAAATGCATTCACATCTCTGAATAAGTCCAGTTTTTTGTGTGTAGAAATTGAGAAATCGATACTTAAGGGAGTCGATGCGACTTTTCATTCATATCTTGTAAGATATAATTATGAATTCTACCGTATCAATTCGCTGCCCTGAAGGCTGTTTTGAGTTGAAATCTTGGGGGATTTGTGCTGTCCAATTAAGGTGTAAATCCGTGGTTTTGTTCGCTGTTAACAGCAAATAATCCGCGAGTGGATTTTTCACGCAAGATTTATTGGGAGTGACAGATGTCAGATTGGTGGAATTTCTCTTGAGTGAGTCGCAGGAAAAAGTGCTCTAAATATAGGCATTTTGTGGCCTCTCGAAGGAGGACTCTTGAGAAGAGAGTCTCTCCGTGGCGAAGAAGGAGAAAAGAGATGTTGAGACGACAGAAATTGCCAGTGGAAATAGGAACACAGTGTAAACATCCATGGATTGCTCTATGATGTATCGGAAATGATAACCACTTTTTTTTCTGCCCCTCTCGCGGCACGGTAACATGAGATTCTCAGCATTCTCGCTCCACTGGAGAGACTTTCATAATCACTGGTGTTTTACTGATCAATATAAATTGCCGTTGATGCAAGAGAGATACCGGGGAGGCCAATAAACAACACTCTAATCGCTCAACTTGTCTCGCGCGCGGGTCTCTGAGGATGTGTGTTGTGGGGAAGAGGCCTAGGCAGGAGGGAAAGTCTCTTCTCCGTTGTGGAGAGACTCTCTCAAATAAGACCAAAATCGCGAATGCATAAATTGCAAAAGTCTATAAACATGCTTCGGAGTCTCTTCTCAAATACAATCATTTTATCTCCTTCTCTGCCATCCTTTTTTTTCTGCGTGCTTCGGCTGCTTTATTTCCTCCTGCGATCGCCAATTGCTGAGACTCTCTTCGTCGTGGGGGCCAAGCAGCCACAGCGCACATGTTTGCTTGGTCTTTTTGCCAATTTTCCCTCCACATTATCCTTCACAGCCTCCTTGGCGGGATTGCGTGTGTGGTGTTAATACCCATGGCGAGTCCACGAACTCGTGAATGCAAGAAAAGGTGGAATATGATGATCTCGATGCACCTACTTTATATTAATTTGAGAGATTGGCGGAGTGAGAGAGACTCTTTGGTTTCTCAATGAAAACCATCATCGGCGGAAAAGGGAGCAAAACATGAAGGAGGACCAGCAAAAACCGGCATCAATCTCTTCGTCTTCTCTCTTTCTCCTTGGCTACCAGAAGAAGAACCATCAAATGGTTCCATCATGGGAACGACCAACACATGGGCGCGCAGCCCTAAAAAATGATCCTCTGCAGATTTGCACGAATTGCCGAGGAAGCGAAAGAGAGTGAGAAAAAAACGCAGCCCTGCAAGAAGTTGAGGTTAATTTGGCTGCGATAAAAGACTCTCGGAAATCTCGCGAAAAGATAGGAAGCGAGCGAGAAAAAAGTGGTTCAGAACATAATTTTCATATTATTAATGCCAACTCTCACGATATCCTGCCCGACGAAAATTGCACAAGACGAAGTCCATCAGCTTTCTTGTGAATGAAACCACATTTTAAGGAGGATTTGAGCACATGACACGCGTGCTCACGCGCTTTCATCACGAGATGAACGCGGAGAGCCAGATGAGGAAATTTTTATTGTTAAATATGAGAGAGTCAAATATTTATTTTGGCACATTAATATTGGGAGAAAGAGATGAAAATGAAGACAATGATGATCCACAAAAACAAACATATTTAAACAAGCATCTCCGAAATATATTTTATGTGATTTTTCCTCCTCAACACACATGAAGAAAAATACGCGCGCGGGCTTTCATTTGTCGTGCCGCGGCGTAACCGAAAAACACACTCATTGCTTTTTGCCGTCTTTTCACTCCCATGATTACTTCGGGTGCTTATTGGGAATTTCTTCTAATTAACTCCATCTCTCAAGCATCTTTTCGGCTGAGAACACTCTCCGTGTGTATCTCTATTTTGAGTGGCTCTGCTTCGCGAGTCACACTTATCCGCGCTACACTCAGACAAATTCCCGGAATGGAGCATGCGAAGGCATTGATGAGACACTGCGACCTGTAATTTGAGTCACTCGCTGGCTAGATTGATAGATTTCTTTGCTGAATTTGGGAAAATTCGCGCGAAAAGCCCGTGAAGACGTTCTGCAGAATGTCCTCCGAATTTCCCCGCTGTTTTTCGCTTGAACTACGCCACTAATCCCTCGATATATCGAAGTTTCAACCGATATTTGAAGGGATTCTCAACGGCAGCGCGCTCAAAATGGCGGATTTCGTGATTAAAATCATTCAATTCTTCTGCGAATCTTCCATTTTTGCAATTGTAATGTAAAATTTCACGCTTTTGACGAAATCATAGACAAAATAAACAAATCAATTGAAAGCCAAACACACGAAGCAAAATTGTCGCTAGTGTCGATAAAGAAGAATAACCTCTGAGTGTTTTTAGCGCCATTTCATCCACGAATTATGGCTGATCCATAGTTTTTGAGTGTGTAAAGGCGCAGATCAACCACGATTTATCCTTGTTCGCGCCGATTTGATGGGAAGAAAGCAAAGAAATTAGATTTTTTTAACCTCAATCTTGAGATTTTAGCATTTTGCTTCAAATTCCAATTGGAATGATCTCCAAATCACTTCATTGTGTGCTCAGTAAATGAAACGGATCGGTTTTTATGGCTTCACATCACTTTATTGTCTGCCGAAGATCCAGTAATAGAGCGATAAGAGGTGCTAAAAATAGCTGAATTGAGGACTTTTTCTCCGAGTGCATCGCTTTGGACGGCGGCCAAGGAGAGAATCTGGCTGTCCATGGGCGAAAGTGGGTTATCAGCGTGGCGATTTGCAAGGCATTCCCGCGTGTCAGCTGGTGCTCATTTGCTTGAGACAATCGCGAACGGGGTGATTTTCAATGGGATGACACTTGACATCTTGTCACGACTCGCGTCGTGTGCAATTGATTGAGCCGCGCTCTGGTTAATTGCGAATCCTTCGGCTCCTCCTGATGCTCTTTCCCGGGAAATCAATTACGCCAAACGTAACGAGGAATGACCGGCACACAAGCCATTAATTGATGCCTTTGAATCACGCTTCTGTCTGTGCGGCACTTTTTCCACATTAATACGAATTAGCGCGCGAGTGGAAAGAGACTTTGTTTGACCATAGAGAATCTACATATTCAATTAATTATAATTATAGCAATTACGCGATGTTATAGGAAAAATTTATTCCGATATATTCGTGAAATTGGTTAAGACGCGCAAGAGGAGAATTTTTTCGATGCCGCACACAATTCATCGGATGCACGATTAACGCGATGGAGTCTTTTGGGTTGAGGAGATTTTTTCCAAGACTTCTTTTCACCGCCCGATGATTTCACTCACATGGCTCTGTGTTGGGGCTTGAGAGGGAATTCTATGGAGGAATATTAGAAAATTTATGCATTAATCATGTCGAAATGTGGATGGCTAATATGAGATTTTAATGGATTTTTGTGTCAAGTCATTTTTGGGAAAAGAATCTTCCATCATGAGCGGATATGGAGGCTCACACAGCATCGCGCTGTGCCTAATTGAATTAGTGGTGGATTAGAATTAAACCCCGAAAAATCAATTGAGTGCGTAATTTTCTGTAATCAAACAGTGCCTATTAGCACAATTTCTGTCCATTAACCGCTCTCTCTCTCTCTCTCTCTCTCTCTCTGCAGGTGGAAAGTTCTGGTCTGTTTGAGCTTAGGTTAAAGTATTTTAGAAATGACAACGCCAGGGACAACACCGGAGCCTGCTGCAGCGGCCGCTCGGACTCTGTGACCGGAAAGTGCATCGGAACGTGCAAGACACGATTTCGCGTCTGTCTCAAGCACTACCAGGCCAAGATTGACACCACGTCGCAGTGCACCTTCGGCGATGTCATGACCCCAGTTCTTGGGGAGAACACCATCAACATGACGTCGCAGAGCCAGCAGCTCGGCTTCATCAATCCCATCCAGTTCCCCTTCGACTTCGCCTGGCCGGTAAGTGTCTGTCTTTGCCCCATTTCCACTGCCTCTTCGCCAACAAGGGGAGACTATTTAGGGAATCTGTACAATTTGCAGCACTCATTTGAGGCTTTTCAGCGCGAATTCTTCATCAATTGTGAGGCTATGAACCGAAAATGTAACATTTTCTTATCATTACTGATCTAATCAGCATGAAAAGTAACTAAATTCTAAGGTTTTTGTTTTGACTCTTTGTTTTTTATCACCCATAACCTCAAATAGTATTGAGAAATCTTGGAAAATCCTACTCAAAAACCTTTTAAAAGCAAAGTTAGATGAAATTTTGAAGGAAATAAATGTTTTACGACTAAATAATCAGCTCAAAATGAACAAAATCAATCTTCTAAATCATGTTTTTGAGGTTATGTTTGGTTAAACGCAAAATTTATGATTTTAAAAGTTATTTCATCACTCAATCTGACTTATATATAGAAATCTTGAAGGAAATCAATGATTTACGACTAAATAATGAGCTCAAAATTAACATTTTTGAGGTTAAGTTTCTATTAGGCGCAAACTTAGCGCTTTTGGACGGTTTTTAGTCACTCAATTTGTCTAAAATTCGTTACATTGTGTTGAAAAGTGAGCTGATGAGTTTCCCAAGAAGTTTTTAAAGTGTAATTTCTCACTTTTCCCAAGACTTACGCGCTGAATTGTACAGCAGTGCAGATCTGAATGTCTCCCCCTTGTTTGGCGAAGGGAAAATGCACCTTTTGGAAAAAAGAGGCAAACGAAACTGAAACTGCGAATGCAATGTTGGGTGATGTTGAGTGTGTGTGGAGTGAAAAACGACAAGAAACATCTGCCGTTCAGGTTGTGCACCGTGTTACTTTAGGGCAGGGTCGAATCGAGGGGGTCTCACTTGAGTTGCGCGCGCGTGTTTTTGCCAGACTTCACCCTCTCTGTGTGTGCGCACAAAGGGAGATTTCCACGCGGAGTTGCGCACAGAGAGAGGGAAAAGAGGGATGCGGCGAAGAGTGTAACGAATTTTTCAGCGAGACTTTGCGCTGGTGGTGATCAACCCTCATCGATCACCACCAAACAGAAATATCCCAATGATTATGACAAGTGATTCCGAACCGTTAGCGCACAAATGCGAGGAAACTTGGCTTTCGGGGTCAGAGAATCTCTCTCTCTCTCTCTCTCTCACTTGTGCTTATTTGCCATTCGCCAAGACGCTGAAAATCAGTTTTGAGTGATGGAAAATATTTGGTGTGGCTTCGCTGAAGAATACACTGTTTCTGAATGCTTCAATATTTGACATTACAGCATTGGCACAATTCATGAGCTTGCGAGGAGAGTTGGATTGTCGTGAAAGGAGGGACAGAATATCTGCAAAATGCTAATGATGTTGACTTTTGCCGATGGGAGTTCTCAAGGCGAATTCCTAGATTTGGGGGCAAAAATTGTCAAACATCAGACTCTGTGTGCGCATTTGTTGAATCTCTCAATGAAGAGAGATTCCATTGAGGGCAGAATTAAGGAGCACAAAGACGACTTAAAGACGTGGCTTAAGAGTGAAATTAGTTGGTCTCTCTTGAATACATCCGAACAGAGAGAGAGAGAGAAGAAGAAGATGAGGGAGAAAAAATGGCAACAATTGCTAAACTATTTAACCTAGCCATTGAACATAATTCACGTATTAAGCTCATAAATCACCGTCACGATTGCAGTTATAATATTGTTACATCCAATTGTCCATATTCAAACATCTCTTGCGAGTCTCTTGCTGGGGAATTCTTGTGTCTGCCGAGCGACGACTCCCTCTCCTTAAGCACCACAGCGCCGATGGTATGTGCATCTCGCGAAAAGAACACAATGTGCGCGGTTCGAAGATTGTTACATACTTGCGCGCGGATTGTGTATATATGTATGAAAGGGTGGGGAGGGAGGAAAGAGAGAGGATGGATGGTGGAAAAAGTCGTCATTATATATTGAAACGATGCGTGACAAAAAAGCCAGACATTGTGTTCTTCTTTAACGCTTTGGTGAGAATTTGCCGTGCAATTGAATCCTCCTGAAGAAGAACACCATCGCATAATGTGCGCTTGGCGAAAGAAAATGCTCAAGAGAGAGATGCTCCAATATTAGTCCATGACAAATGGTGAGTGGGAGAGACAGAGATGTTCTCTTGCAATTGTGGAGCAACAACAGCACAAGTCTTTGTCGGGTTTGTGTGGTTATGAATGAAATCGAAATCAATTGGGCGCTTTGTCGATGAGGGACAATCAATGTGTCTCTTCGCGGGTGCAATTTCCCTTCATTAGCGCGCGCTCGGTTATCAATTCGAAGGGATCAAGACGGCGAATGCAAGTGAGATGCATGGCTTTAAAATTCCAAGAAGATGTTCTGCCAAAGTGCGTGCAGAATTTTTTAATCGGTCCGAAAGAGCTTAATTGGTTTCTCCCTGCGCCGTGCGCAGGAAAAGGTGCGCACAGAGCGCATAAAGGCGCATCTGTGGGGGAGAGAAGGGAATAATTAAGTAGATCTGTCACCCACATGAGGCCCAAGAATGTCTGAAATGCCGGAGATGGGCCAAGAAAAGTGGACTTGAGAGACAATGCGCTCTGTGTGAGCGATTGACGTTGCTTGAAATTTTTATTGACACATGACCAACATGACCAAAAAGACGCGCGCGCACAAAACTTCTCTCTCCCAATTTGATGCCCACATCCAATTTACGGTTAGGCGCGCGGGCTTTCTTGGGAGGCAGAGAGAAAAATACATATAACTAAAAGGCACTCTCTCTCTTCTCCTTGTTTTCCAGGGTACATTCACATTAATTGTGGAAGCATGGCATGACACTAATGAGACGATAACAAGATCACCTGGTAAGTCTGAATTAATTCCATTCTTTCTATCATTTCTCTGGTGTAAGAGAAGCAGTAAGATAAGACGTTGTGGAATTTCCCTGAGGGGGAAGAAGCACAGTGACAAGAATTCGTGGTTGTCACTGTGGTGTTTCCGGTTCTGTGAGCACGACAATAGCGGCTATTGTTGGTCCTTGATTGCCTCATTCTCTTCCTGTCTCAGACTCACAGATATCTCGACTGATGTGGTGTGTTTTGAAAATTGACACCCTCTCTGGAAAGTTCCCCAAAGACGCGACTTCTCTCCGTGGGCAGGCAAAGAGCAAAAGAAAAAAAGAGGCAAACCTCCTGTGGGGATGAAGACACATTTTTTGCCCGCTTCCTCACACTTCCGGTCGTCTTGTGTTCGCTTTCTGTGCAGTGTTGCGTTGATTCTTCTTTTTCCACACTCGCTTCGCCCGAAAGACACGCACACAACCAGTGAAGAAACGCTCCGTATATCAAATGTTTTCGAGTATACCACCGACCGGAAGCGGTAAACAACTTGAATCCCAATTTTTTCCTCACTCCTCTTCGGTAATCTTTGGCGAAGAGGTTTTATTCACTTCTTCCTCCGCCACATGATCAAATGTCGAGTGTTGCCGAGTGACGAGATTCTCCAAAATGTCGCAAAGACGACGAGATTGCTCACAAATGTTTGTGGTTTTGCATGTTTAGGGGACAAATTTAGTCACTTCTACAGCTTCTTGAGATGTCTTTCTCTCCTTATTCTTGCATATATATTGAATTTTAGGCCACTTCTTGGCATGATTTCATTTGTAAAACCTTTCAGAACTTCCTTGAATAGATTATTTAATGCAAATTTTGATTAATATTTATGAAATTATTGAATTAAAGTATTTTAATAGAGAATACAAATTCTCCCCTTTTGTGCCACTTCTGAAAAACCACAAATTTATATTCATTATTAGCTCTAATTTTGTTCAACACAAAAGTGTGAATTAATTTTGTTGTTAATTAAAATATTTTTATTCATTTATAACACTATTGAGTCATCAGACTATTTTCCATATGTGCTTATATCTCGCCCAATTTTCCACGGATTTTCCCCAAATTGGGCTCAAATGATAGCCACTGAAATTATCTACTACTTTGTAAAACATTGTGGGAATTTTAGATCACTTCTTGTTGCTCAAAAATGATCTTTTCTGCTTAACGTGGTAAAAAATTCACCGATTTTTCACCACATTTTATCAAATATCTCCGAAACGAAAAGACTTTTCTGTCAGATTGTTTTTCCTATGTGTAGATCACTTCTGTGGATACATTTCCCTCCATATATGTCAAAATGATATTTCTTCTCCATCTGCGTGAAAAACAGGATTTTCCCTGTGAAACAAAGCTTATTTATCAAGAATACACAAGCAAAATTCCATTCTCGAGTGTCTGAATGATTCTTTAATGCTCTGAAGTTTCCTGAGACACGAAAGGACGGTTAGAATGAAGGCAGAAATTACAGATTTGTGCCCTTATTTCTCACTTTCCACCCCTCGTTAGTGTGAGGATTCGGTGTTGACACAATTCACCTCTGCAGGGATTCCCAAATGTGAATCATCGTCTCATGTTTCTGAGCACTGATTCGCCCCTCTTTACAATTCATGGGCAATATCCATCAGCGCGGTTTGCCCACCCAAAAAGGGGGCACAATTATTGGTATTGTCTCCCTGGGAATGTGCGCTGAGACCCAATTAAGTCACACTCTCGCGCCTCCAGAGCGCGCGCGATGACTGGAGAGGATGGTAAATAAACATGGCAGTGGAATAAACAAGAATATAAACCATTTGGGGATTCATGTGAATTTGTGGTAGGTTCTTCAAATAAACAAATTACAGCAGTCTGCGATGGCGGAGGGAATCTGTGCCACGAGACACTGTGAGGCCTCGCGGGGATGGTTGAAGAGAGAGATTCCAATGACCTCTATTTCCCATCGCATCCTCGGGGCTGTTTTTCGAATCTCTCTCTCTCTTGCCTGCGAATTCTGCTGCGAACAAGCAAAAAGAGTTTTTTTTTGCTCTGCGCCAGAGAAACTCAAGACTTCTTGCAGAGGCCTAACCTTGGCTTCCCCCCTGATGGGTGTTTTTGGTTGTGTTCTCAATGCTCGTCCAGGCGTTTCTTTCGCGTTTTGTATGTTCAGCTTGACCTTAAGGTCTCTCTCTCTCTCTCTGCGTCCAAAGAAATCTCCGGCATGAACAATCGCACCGTGAATGCCAGGGATGCTGAAAAGGACACGTTTCTTTGTCAATCTCTCCCCGTGTGCTGTCCCCGTTCATCTTCTCCTGCCCAGCGCAGATGTACAGTGCAGAAATATTAATCAGAACGAATTCCTCGAGGTGGTTTTTTTTTTCGGCAAGCTGTGATGGTGAAATGTCACCAGCGAGAAAACTCAACATGGAAATGCGATCAGAGTGGAATTTTTTAAATACACCCTTCCTTTTGTCGTGCTGCAGCGCAAGCATTGGAATGCGTGTAATGTTAATTTGCGACCACGGAGTGGCTTTTATGAAAGAAAGCGAGAAGAAATTGATCAAAATTGGACAGCATTCTCTCAGTGAGTGAGAGACTCTTGATGATATGCTTGCCGATGGAAATTTTCGATGATGACCACTCTTGTCGACCGGTTGGGCAGATGTTTTCCCTGCCCGAAAACTCACTCTTGGCCAATGCAATGATCCTAGGAAATGCTCAGCAGTACAATTTCGATAATTTCCCCACGCCGAAGCCTTCAGACGATGGCATTCCATTGTGATGGACGCTCGCCAAGGGGGAGATAGTTGTCTGAAATCTCCACAATTAGCGTTCAAAAGGCTTTCTTACAGATTCCTTGAAGAATTTGGAGTAAATTGTGAGATTAAGAGTCAATTTTGCACAAATATCCACCTTGAAAATGGTCCTTAAAAGTATTCTTTGTGAATTTTCTCAAGTTTCAAAACTTTACTGAGTTTGTTGAGTTCTTTTCGAAGGCAAAATTAAGTTTACAATTAACGTTTCATCTCTTTTTGTCACTTTTCTTTGACTTTGAAACCCGATTTTCATTGATAAATTGGCTAAATTTTGCGATTTCTTCAGTATAAATGCCTAAATTTGATAAGAAGTTGGAATATTAATGAGCAAAAAACACGAAAATTGATGGTTTTTGGATGTTATTCAGTCATAATGGAAAGCATTTTGAATTTTCTCGAGTTTTTAGTCGCTATTTATTGAAAGATTTCACTTAAGAAATCATTACTGAGCTTTTTGTGCTCTTTTCAAAGACAAAATTAAGTTTACAATTAACATTTTAAAGTGTACAAGTGCTTTTTTGGTCTGAAATGACATTTTTGAGGTTATTTTTGGCTTTAAAACCTGATTTTCTTTGCTAATTTTGTAAAATTTCTCAAATTCTTGAGTGTAAATCCTTAAATCATCGCTAAAAACACGAAAATCGATGGTTTTTCGGGTGTTATTTTGCAAGCAAAGTTCAGGAAAGTGTTGAGATTGCTCAATATCTCCCCCTTGGCGCAGACAGAGAATCGTGAAATAGAGAGAAAGAGAGAGAGGCAGATTGGCGTGCTTAACACAATCTCTCACCCTTCTTTAAATATAAGGAGATTCACTTCACTTTATCCGCGCATATCGCGGACTTTGGCTGCGCGGGAAGTGAGAAGGAGAGTGAATTGTGACCAATGTGTGAAGATGTATGGCGAAGAGGTGCATTCCACAAATTGGATTTCACTCCCTCGCCCCGGCAATCTTCCACCTCTTCTTGGCCTCCGCGTTCGCCGGTGCGCCAGGTTCTTGCCCAGGGGCTGCTCATTAGGTCTTTCCGAGGACGTTCGCCGTGGCTTCTGAATGAGTCAATCTCACACGCCAGTGCCAAAGGATTGACCATCATAAGAGGATTGAATGTGAATGAATTCCTGGACGAATGCGATCAATTTGCCCTTTTGCACCGAAATTCTCTTCTCCACGAGAATCTCTCCTCAATTTCTCTCTCATGCGAGGAATTTGCCTTGGTTGTTATGTTGTCGGACAGGGATTTATTGCAGTTTCGGGAGGCTTTTTATCATATGGTGCGCAAAAAACAATTTTACAGCGTTCTTAAGACACAGTCTCTAAATACAGCCGATGGAGAAACACTTATGGACCCGAGACTTCTGGTGATATGTGACTTCTTCAGAAGAGGAGGAGAAAAAAAAAGAAGGAAAATGCCAGAAGAAGGGAGCAAAAAGTCTCTCAGGTGAAATAACTCTGAGAGAGCGATTCTGAATTGCAGCAGAAAAAGGCCTGAGAAATGCAAAAGAATGCGATTTGGGAGAATTACAGCGATTGAGCGCAGAAATTGTACCTGAGGAAGGAAGGATCCGTGCGGAATTCTGGGAAAGGACGAAATAGAAATTCAATTGAGCTATACAACTCCGAACCGACAATAGGTTGAGGCGGTTCTGCTTCTTGATTGCTGTTCATCTCTCGATTCTGCGCCATATTGTTTCTCCTTCGCCGCGGCGTTAATTACAATCGCCCCAAAAGACTGTGTGCGCGAAATGCCGGGCAGTCGTTAAGGGAACGCCTGATTTTATGAACTTTAATAGTTTTCCACAATATACAGATGATGATGAACCATTAAGGCATTGTGATGCGCGCGAGTGTGTGGCGTCTTTGAGAGAGAGAAAGAGAAGAAGAAGTTATAACTCTAAATTCAAGGTGAAGTTTTTATCTGGCCATTTCCATGTCCGAAAAAATTTAATTAATTTCAAGACGATCATTAATGATGCCTGAGCTTCCATCATGATCAAGATCATGGATCTTCGACTGGGCCTTTTTGCCTCCTTCTCGCGCACATCGCGCGCTTGATGTTTTTCTTGAAATCTCTTCTAAGAGATGTCAAAGACACAAACACACACCAGAGCCTCGGCGCGATGAGGAAAGAAATTACATAAAATGAAATATGCTTTTGGCATTAAAAATTCGTGCATGTCTTGTGGCATTAATAAGTGTTTCTTCTTTCGGGGAGTGAGAAGATAGAACCTGTCCTGGAAACACCTGCACTCTTTTCGGGCTCTCCTCTTTCGCCCCATTCTTTCCCAACATTCGCGAATTTCTCCGGCCATTTCTTGCACTCCAAATGCCGTGCCATTTTTTCGCCATCATCATCTCCGAGAGAGATCATTTTGGCAGTGATTTTTTACCCTCTCGCGGCCACAACACAATTAATTAGCGCTTCCTCTTCCATCTCACTCCATTCCATTATGGGCTTTTCACTCTTGATCTGAAATTAGAAATTCAAATGGACGATCGAGGGGAAGATATTGTGGTGAGAAGTGGTGTACAGCGGTGGAAGAACGTGGAATTGGTCTGCAAATTGTTCTTTTCGATCAGATTAAGTCCCATTTTGCTCCTTTTTGAGGTTATGTGAAGAACTTCAAGCAGATTTAGTGGCTAAAAAACATCAGAAAACGTGAAATAATTTCACTTTTTGGCTGAATTCAGCAATTTGCGCTCAAAGAATAGAAAATTCCAGAAGTTTAGCATCTAAATTTGTTTAAAAGTCAAACATAACCTCAAAAATATGACTTCAATTTTGAAAAATTGTGTTTTTTTCTACTTTAAAACAGTTTTCTAGACATTTTCAGGCAAAATCAATATGATTTTCTCTATTTTGTCCACTGAAAGAATCAGATTAAGTTTATTTTTGCTCATTTTTGAGGTTATGTGAAGAACTTAAAACAGATTTAGTGCCTAAAAAACATCAGAAAATGTAAAATAGTTTCACTTTTTGGCTGAATTCAGCAATTTGCGCTCAAAGAATAGAAAATTCCAGAAGTTTAGCATCTAAATCTGTTTAAAAGTCAAACATAACCTCAAAAATATGACTTCAATTTTGAAAAATTGTGTTTTTTTCTACTTTAAAACAGTTTTCTACACATTTTCAGACAAAATCAATGTGATTTTCTCTATTTTGTCCACTGAAAGAATCAGATTAAGTTTATTTTTGCTCATTTTTGAGGTTATGTGCAGAACTTCAAGCAGATTTAGTGGCTAAAAACATCAGAAAACTTTAAATAGTTTCACTTTTTGGCACAATTCAGCAATTTGCGCTCAAAAAACTGAGAAATACTTGAAGTTCAGCATTGAAATCTGTTTTAAAGTCAAACATAACCTCAAAAATATGAGTTTGAGTTTGAAAAATTGTGTTTTTTCTACTTTAAAACAGTTTTCTAGGCATTTTCAGGCAAAATCAATATGATTTTCTCTAATTTTGCCATTGAAAGAAGCAGAATAAGTTGAATAAGATCTATTTAAGTGACTTCATAACCTCACTTTTTGACTCAGGACGATCCTAATCGCTCTCTGTTGTGTTGCAGGCATTCTGATCTCGCGACTGTCCATCCAGAGAGTGCTGGACGTGTCGTCCAACTGGACGGAGGACAAGCATGAGTCCGTGTACACGACGATCCAGTACGACTTCCGGGTGACGTGCGACGCCCACTACTACGGGACGGGCTGCGCCAACCTGTGCCGCCCGCGCGACGACCAGTTCGGCCACTACACCTGCTCGGCCACGGGCGGCATTGTGTGCCTGTCCGGCTGGCAGGGCGACTACTGCACGAAGCGTAAGTACAATCCCGACGCCCTCATTAAGACGGCCGCGGCCGAAGAAGTCATGCTCCAATTGGAGGAAGAACCGTAAATTCCACAACAGCGCATCTCGCGAGTCTATAATTTTTCCCCCCCAATTGCGCGGCCGCCCAACTGAGGAGAGATGATCTGGAAATGATGTCCAGAGACGCGCGTCCAAATTGCGCTGTGAAACAAGCGCGCGGCTTTTTTTTTCGGTGATTAATGAAGCGACTATTTGCCATAAGAAATTCACGCATGCTCAATTGACTACTTAAGTCTCTCTTGCGGAGATTAAGTGCAATAAATCAGTTACACTTGTAATCGGGAGCACTGTTACGCTGGCGGTTTTTTTCGCCGCTGCCGGTCAAACAATGATCAAATGACGATGGAGCGTATCATTGAGATTAGCTGTGCTTGTGTTTGTGTGTATTTTCTTGGGAAAAAATTCAGCATCGTTATTTGGATGTTTTACTGTCTCTCCTAAACGTATCGTCTTTTTATGGTGTCTCCTTTCGTCTCGCGAGATGTTGACTCTGTTTGGAATAAGTGTATCATTGATTCACGTGTTAAATGGCGATGCCAACAAGAGAAGAGTTGGAGAAGAGACAGAAGAAAGAGCGAAGCTGCACCGTAAAGACGCGCGTTTTATTTTGAGAGATTTAAATGCCGCGCCACCCAAGGCAGATGTGGGGACTTCAGAACTTTTAATTATTGCTCTCATGAGATGCACACGGAGCTGCTGTGATCTCGTTAAGGGACGCGCCTTGGCGTGTGGGAAACGTGAAAATTAAGAGAAATGCCGTAATTGTTGCAAAGTGTTCCGTCGAGGGAGAAGATTGGATCATTCGTGGCGATCATTTGTGCAGGAATATTTATGAGATGCGATCGGTGTTGAAGATCGTTAAAGCCACTGTCAAAAGACACTCTTCTATATATTTTCCCCGATTCGCGGATTCATTCACAAAAATGGCCCGAGAAAAGCTGCCACAAATGGAAATTATATTCAAGTTTCGAATTTATAATGCACACGCGGAGACACACAAGTCAATTCCGCAAGGCGAAATCTCCACAATGGTGAAGAAAGGAAGACGCAAGAAAGGCCCCAATTGGGGCAATTTATAGAATTTTTGCACACACAAAGCCATCAACCACGAAGTGCGTGCAAAGTTTTGGGCTGAGAAGAGAGAGAAGAGAAGAAAGACACAAGACGAGATGATGGCGAGGCGTTTAGGGTTTCTCGGGTGTGTGTATATAGCATGAAAAATTATAAATATATCCTCGCAAACACAGGTTTCCGTCCATCCGTTTTTGATCTTCATCATCTCTCTGCCTTTTTTCTCTCTCTCTTTGCTTTTTGGCTCTTTTTCGGGGCAGATTTGTAGTGTTTCTTCCCACGCCAGAAGCTGCGCACACACTTAGGTAGCTGCCAAGATGGCGTTGTGAACGCCTCCGAGGGCAGCAGATATGAATGAGGCGCATGATAAGGGTAAAAAACATGCCCAAAAAGACCCTTGGGACATTCTCTATCGATCCGGGGACACATTTTATCCGACGTTGAGAGACAAATCTCTTGATATGGATCACTGATTTCCATACGAAATTACAAGGTGTCGCGCGGGAAGTGAGCTGAATTGTTAATTCATGCGTGAGATTAAGGACAGGAAAGTCCTGCCAATCAAGCCAAAGCACATGATTTCTCTTTTACATTGCGGAATCAACCGGGAAATGTTCGCTGCAGTTGAGATTATGATGGTTTTAAGCGACATTTTGGGTCAAAAATGGGATTATTTTAAGATGTATTTTGTCAATTTCCATTCGAAAGTGCATTTATTTGTCGAATCAAAGGATTATTTCATAACAATTTTGTGACTTAAATGTGTTTGAGTGACTTCGAAGCAATTTTTGGATGGGAAAAGGGAATATTTTAGGCATTATTTGCAATTTTAGAACACATTTGTCTCATAAAATATTGATTTCTTCTCATTAAGACGCAGAGAATCACACTTTAAGTGAAGATTTCATGAGAAAAGTATCTTTTTTATGCTGAGAAATTGTAAATTTCTTACTAATAAATGTTTTTGAGGCACTTTTAAGATACTTTCTAGTGAAATAGAAAATATTTGGGACAATTTTAAGCATCTTTTTCAACTTTAGATTGAAGATGAACTCAAAATTGACAAATTTGTCTCATAAAACAATTCTTTCTTCACATTGAAACACAGTTTTTTATAAGAAAAGTGTCTTTTTTATGCTGAAAAATTGTGAATTTCTTCGTAATAAATGACTTTTCTAATGAAATAGAAAGTATTTCACAATATTTTAGGCATTATTTGCTATTTTAGAACAAAAATATGCTCAAGAGTGAATTATTTATTCCATAAAAGAATTATTTCTTCCCATTTTAATGGCTTTTTCTGAGAGATTTTTCCCACTAACTTTCATTCACGATGAAATTCTTGTGTTTTTCGACATTTATCGATAAGAATTCCGTGCAATTTCCATTTTTTACATACAATCTGAGAAGAAATTGTGTCAGAAAAGCGGAATTTCAAGCAATTAATATCGTTATTATTATCATTGAACGTCATGGACTTTCATGGGAAGAAAAGTATCGATTCAAAGACATTTTCCCATTAATTTGAGCCTCAGAGGCTTGACTTTGAGCCCGACAAACTTGCCCATTTATCAGGTAATGGCGAAATGGGACTTGAGCGGATAGATTTGCAGTGCGATCTCATTTCGGCCGGGCGATAATTTATGTATTCAATCAATTACGTGGAAGTTGCGGAGCTCATGAGGTGAATTGCTGGCATTCCGGGCGATTTGCATTGTGTGTATTTTGGGCGGAATGCAAACGCATTGCGAGGCTCTCTGGTGGCTAAATATGGAGAAAAGTCGCGGTGTCTTGTTCGCGGCGGTGATTCGCGCGGTGCAATTACTTAAGAGAGCCTCACTCCATGTGACCCAGAGAGTGGAATTCGAGTGCGCGCCGATCGGGTGACAGGTGCCCATAGTGTGCAGAACTTTCTGAAATTTTAACATTTTCCCCCGGCGAGCGGGCGGCGGGCGGCGGATGAAATAGAAAACCGTCTAGCTAAGCAAGTTGGAATGTAGCCTGAGCCAGTGGGATTTTTTTCCTTTGGCCAACACTCACACAAGAGCTTCACGGCTATCATGTGCGCCTTTTTATTATCCCACTTTGGCTCTCTGTGTGTCTCGAAACTCTGTGTGTGACTGCGATGGACCGCGAAGGAGATAAAGAGCGAGAGAGAGAGAGGGATATTTGACTAATGCCACTCTCATTGCTCTGTGATAAATGCCGTGGAGTTTCTCTATCGGGTCCATGGGAAGCTGAGAGCTCCCTTTTTTCCATGCAGTCATAACTCAAATCCTCCGAAATTAATCCTTTTTTCTCTGGAATTCCATCGCGCATCTCTCGTGCAGCATTTGTGTGTCTCTTCGGTCTGGAAATGCTAAGTTGGCACTCAAATAAGACATGTTCTGTGTGTTGTACCAGCGAAGAGATGGAGAGACATAGAACAGGAATATACCTTCAATCTCAAGTCCCAAGAGTTGTACATAAAAATTTTCACTGTATTGACGACGACGATGATGATGAGGAGGAGCAAAAAAGAGAGAAGCTCAGCACCCAAAACTGCGCACACAAATGGTGGGAACAATCAATTTGAATGTGGAAACAATTTCATTAATTTCTTACCTTCTCTTCTTCGTCGCCTCTATTCCCAATATTTGTGTGTCTCTCAAGAAGTCTCTCAAGACCTTAGCGAATGCCTTTTGTCGAATGGCACTTTATGCAATTCGTCTCTGCGCGCGTAAAGCGAATCCAGGGATTTTGTATTCCATCTCATTCGGCATTCTATTAATTGATGGCAATTGACCCGAAGGTCCTCCTGGTTCTCAAGATCTGTGTGTGTGTGTGTGTGTGTGTCTTGTGTGACTCACAGCGCGCGCATTTGCATAAACCACAGTAATTTGGGGATTAACCCCATCAAGATATTTCGCGAGTCTCCCATGGCAGAGAAGAGTTTTTTTTGCCAGCTTCGCCTTCCTGTCGATTGAGAAGTGATGTTGAGGAAATTTAAACATCAAATCGATTACTGATTCTCCGCGGTGATAAGGCAACGTGGAAACATGAATGTTAATTCTTTCCCGCCACTCTTTGGCCAGTCAGAGAGCGTGACAGAGGCGAAATATGGCAAGGGGGACAGATTTGTGATGAAATCTGTACACTTCCTCAGCGCTTCTGCTACAATTTTCTGTCTGTGGTCAATTAAGATCGCGACTTGGGTGAGATTAAGACACGTGGCGATGCAGAATGACAGTCAAGTGAGTGTTCAGGAAGCGAATATTTGACTTGTACACCTCTTCTGGCCACATTCTCTCCCCCTCGGCGATGTGTTGGCTCTTGTGTGCGCCTCTAATTTGTGGCCTGTGTGTTCTGTGCACTCCCATAGGGCACGAGGGGCACAAGGGGCACGAAAGGGTGGCTTTGGCGATGAGCGAGCGTAGAAGGAATCTAATTGCACGGCCGAAGAGTGTCATTGTGCATGCAAATGCGCCGCAAAACAGCAGATGCACAATCTTGCAGAGGTGCGATTGGGAAATTTGACAAAGTGCAGGTCCGAAAAAGAGTCACCGCAGCATTAATTAATTACTTTGGCCTGTCTTCCGCGGAAAAAGAGGCATGTTCAGGATGGTACGTGTTCTTAATCGGCGCGCGTCGTCAATGAGGGGACAGCTGGTGGCGATCGATCGATGGACTTTCCACTGAAGTAACTTTCATGCGACGTCGCGCGGTTTTTGCCACGGCGAATTGAAGACATGAAGAGCACAGAGAGTGCGACAAAAAAGCTCCCAGAGGGAAATAAACATCGAATGTCCTGTGGCCGGGAGTGCACAAATATTTATTATTTGGCCCTCTTTGCCATCGAGACACTCTGCTGATGTGCGTTCGTGTGGAAAATGGTTGTTTTGCTGCGAATGTGTTGCCAATATATTTGATGGTTGAAGTGCAGCTGCTGCACGTGGCAGACGCATTCCAATTAATTACTCTCCTCGCTTTTTTGGTACAGACACACTCGTAAACAGTCAATTTCCGATCTGATGGGGGGACATTTAAACCGCGTGCACACGGAAGATTCTCAGGTTCCGCGCGCCTCAGGTTCATTGGCCACTGATGTGTGTGCGAAAAATGTTTGATATTTTAATCCGCGCGGCCCGCATTTTGGGAGTGGAAGCATTAGGAAAAATTTATCGATCTCCTCTGCACACAGTTCCCATCAAACTAACCAATGTCTTTCTCTCTTTCTCTTAATTCCAGCTCGATGCCTGCCAGGCTGTGATGAGCAGCACGGACACTGCACGGTGCCGAATCAATGCGTGTAAGTATTAATTGTTCTGTATCACTCTCCAACAGCCCGTGATCTCTCACTGGCCTGCTGACCCGGAAAGCCCAGCAGAATTAATGGCAATCCGAAAGTTCTTGCCACTGCTCAATTGGATTTCTGATCGCGCAGTCTTCAAAATTTAATTAAAAAATCTCTCTCTCTCTGAAGTTTGAGAGAAATTGATCAGTTGAGAAACTTCCCAAGGGGTGAATATCATGGTCCGAAGTGGTGTACAGCTTTTGCCATCTCTTCTAGAGCTTCTATTGCAACAAATTGAGACATTTTCTAACTTGTTTTGCTTAGAAAAATCAAGTTTATTGCTTTTTTGAGGTTATGTTTTTGATTTCAAACAGATTCTGATGATTTAATAACCCTAAAAAGCATCAAATTGGTGTTTAAGCTGGGAATATTAGTCTTTTTCTAAACAAAATCTTCAGATTGATTGAATTTCGGAAGTGAGAAACAGCTTAAGAGTCAATAATAACCTCAAAAATATCATTTCAGACAAATTTAGCTTGATTATCTATTAGAAATATTGTGATATTCGCTATATTCACTCTGAAAATGAGTTTAAAAGAATCAAAAATTAGTCCAAGAATCCTTTTTAAGCCAATTTCTTAACCTCACAATTTGATTAGAGCATTTCTAAGGCTTTTTTCCGAGGACATAACAAGAAATTCCCAACAGAAATCTGTGTAAATAATTAAGAAAGGCGTTCAAAGGTGTCTCGAGGCATCTTATCTCCCCCTTTGGCTTTCTCCCCGAAATGCTGTGTGGGGGGAGAGAATGGCTGTTTATCACAGCGAAATGGTGTGTGCGCGAGTGAAGAGGGAAAATATGAGGAATAAATTGTGGCGTGTAGGTTTCCCAATAAAATCAGAGCTTATTAAATTGCGCGGCGCGATACGAAGCGATCGACACGCCTCTTCTCAAAGTCTTTCCCACGGAGAGTCTCACTTGGCCACAAACTCCCTTATACAGCATTTTTCACGTGTTAGCGCATTATCCATCGGAAATTTTAAGACTCTCTTCTCTCCTCGCCTTCGTTCGCCAGCGGATGCCTGAAGTTGAGGTATGAGGAGTGATCGTGTGTGTACAGAGCGCACTGGACAACTCTTATTGTCCAAATAGTCACTCGCGGGACATAGAAAGACACACGATCGCGCGGGCAATTGTTAAATATTTTGACGGCAATTAGTGATCTTCACTCGATCTCCCCGGATCATTTCTCCTCTCTGGATCGTGATGGAATCTCGTGGGCTCAACTCCGAGGCGGAGATCACTCAAGTGCTCTTTATCGCGACAGATCAAATTCAGCATTCTATTAACCTGAGCCCGCGAGTGTGGTTTTGATTGAGAGTGAGACGCGCGCAGAGCACAAAGAATTTTGGTGAGTCTCGCGCGCCGTGTGACTTTCTTTCTCACCACGGCGCGCACTGATGAGAGTCAATCATCATCAGACATCATAGAGTTTTGTCACAACAATAACACTGTGCCATTGTCGCGTCATTGTAATTCAAAACCCTCTGAGGCATTAGGCATTGGAGTTGATCTTTTTCACGTTGCGAGACAAGCGAGATTGTGTGTTATGCAAAAGATGCGATGCGAAAGGCTGCGTGGAGGACATCATAAAAGAAACTGTGTGATGCAACATACACACATTTGATGATCATGATGACAAAACGCCGTGCGATCATGATTAAATCGATCGCGGGTGTTGCCTGAATGCCGATGAGCGCGTCACAATGGGCAAAACGGTGGGAGCTCGCGAGAGGTGCAAAAAATCACATCCCAAGTTATGCATACAAATTGAGAGGAAGACACTCTTCTTGTCCAATTACAATTGCCAATTTTTCGAGACGCTGTGAACTCCTTCGGCGACACGCCAATGACCCTAATACGTGATTTTGTGGGGTTGCTGGGATAATTTGTGAGCTCTGTGTGTCGTTAATTTGAGACTAATTTAAATTGAAAGCAACACCACATTAGCGCTCCATCCGTTTCTAATATTTCTCCAAGCGCGCTCAACACTCCCTTCCTCTTTTGCCAACATATCGAGAGGCCCTCGCGGTTGCCCAAGAAGTGCGTGGCGAATGTGAGTTATCAAGGTTCCGCAGAATACAGCAAGATTTCTCGAAGAAACTGTGATGAAATGGTCTAATTTCCAAGATCTGAACATGTTCAAAACTGTGTTTGTCTAGAAAGCAGACATCTTGATATTCTGACAGTTAATCAGCCAACTTTCTTTAGCTTCTTAACACTTTAATGATCTCTGAGACAAGTTATCTCCATTAAATCGAGATTCCACAGAAAACAACAAGATTTCTGAAAGAAAACCCAAAAGATCTGGTTCAATTCCCAAGTTTACAATGTGTTCTGCACTCCGTTTTGACAGTTTGACTATCAGACTTTGGTTAGAAAGCAGACATCTTGATATTTTGACACTTTTGACAGTTAAGGTGACAGTTAATCAGTTAATTGGAACAAGTTATGAGTAGATTAAATCAATATTCCGTGGAATACAACAAGATGCCTAGAAGAAATGTAGAAGGATCAGGAGCCTAGAAACCTAGGAAAATACCTAGAATTGAAATCAATATTAGAATGTTCAGGAAAACTAGCCTAATTTCTAAGTTTTCAATGTGTTCTGGACTCCATTTCGATAGTTTGTCTATCAGACTTTGGTTAGAAAGCAGACATCTTGATATTTTGACACTGTTGACAGTTGCAGTGGCAGTTAAACTGTCTAGAAACGGTCCGAGATGAAATTTTTACCAAAAAGTCATATGATTTAGCAATAAGTGTGAAAAGCAGCTCACGAACCCGCGAAGCAACCCAGTGCTTTTCGCCACAGCGCGATGGATAGAGCAGGGAAATTACAACAATCAGCTGCACAGTTCTTGAGTGAGTCTTCCACGTTGAAATTCCATGAATGAATATGAGATATTCGTGTGGATTATTGGGAGTGCGACTCACATGTGATGGGCTGGCTCATGAATTTAATAGAGGCAAGGATGGAAAAGTGCCTCTTCAATGAACTGTGGGAATGCATTGTAAATTCAGAAGTCATAGTGTCCCGTACGCTGAATCGTGGTGTTGAATAGAGAATTCTCGCGCGCGGAGCCAATTATTCCGCAGCCACAACAGGTGTGAATGTGTTGGAGGCAACTGTACTTCCACGAATTGGTGATAAATAATAATTAAAGAAGCTCTCCTCTCAATGCCATATTTGGCTGGGATTCTATGGGCCAAAAAGAGACTCGCCCGAGCTCTGCAAGCAAAAAGCAGCCATTCTCCTCGCCTTTTTGCATTTCCATTTCCCACATTGTGAATAAAAATCCCATGAAATCTTTCACTCAATTGAGCGCACAGGTGAAATTCACCTTTAAGCTGGTGCTCAAGCTGCAGAGTGTCTTTTGGCCAGCATAAACATAACAACAACAACAGCAAAAAAATGAAACATGAAACTCAGAGAGTTGACGATAAATATTCAAATGGATCTCCATCGTAAAGTGTCACCAAAATGTCTTGATTTGTAACAACAATTTATGGGTCTCCGTTTATGACCAATCATTCCTCTATCGCACATTTTGCAAATGCGCCACGAATTCATTCTTTCTTTTTTTTCCTGCCCCTCAATTCGCAATTCACGCCAATTGAAAGCAAGAAAAAAAAACACGCATTGAGAGAGAAAATTGGAGCGGAAATTGTCTCCGTGTTTGGGCTTTTTGTAAAACACGCCGCGCAAGTCTTCCGAATTGAAGGACGGCGAGGGAAAAGCTTCGCGCGCGAAAGCTTTTCCTTCCGGGAAATGAGATGCCAGTGGCGAAGCTCGATTTCGCGGGCATTCCTGGGTCAGAGATCACAGGTGGATAAGGTGTGAAGTTGGGCAATTGTGGTTTAGTTGAGAATTTCCAATGTCTCAGAAGCACTTGAAGATCCCCGAAACGAGTTTATTGCTTTAATTTCTAAGGTTATGTCACTCGTTTAAGATAAAAATCAGTGATAGTTTCAGAATCCATTAAGAACACTCAAAGATTCTGATCAGCAATGAAAGCCAACAGTGCAATTAGAGGCAGAAAATGACTAACAATTGCCTGAAAAACTCAATTATAAAGTTGTGAGTTAGATTTCGGTTAGATTTTAGTTAGATTTCAGTTATTTTTCATACCTTGAATGGAATTTATCCGCATGATTGACGGATTATCGCTAATTCTAGTGTCATTGATCATAAGATATTGTATAAAAACGTGAGTTTTAAAGGTTTCAGTTAGATTCTAGTTAGATTTCGGTTAGATTTCGGTCAGATTTCAGTTATTAGCTGGTTTTGGCCATATTATCTTTGTAGCTTTAGCTTTGCGGCCATTTCTGAGTGTGGCTTTTCCGTCTTTGCAGATGCCAGTCGGGCTGGAAGGGCGAGCTGTGCGACGAGTGCGAGCCCTATCCGGGCTGCATGCACGGCACGTGCAAGAAGCCGTGGGAGTGTCGCTGCAACGAAGGCTGGGGCGGCCTGTTCTGCAACCAGGATCTCAACTACTGCACGAACCACCGGCCGTGCCAGAACGGCGGCACGTGCTTCAACACGGGCCAGGGATCGTACACTTGCCAGTGCCCGCCGGGCTTCACGGGCGTGGACTGCGACATCGTGATCAGCAGCTGCGAGAACGCGCCGTGCCTCAACGGCGCCACGTGTCGTGATGAGTCGCCGCGCGGGTTCAGGTGCGAGTGTCGCAAGGGGTGGACGGGCAGGCACTGCGACAGGGAGACAGTGACGTGTGCGGACAAGCCGTGCCTGCACGGCAAGTGTCGTGACACGAGCCAGGGCTTCAAGTGCGAGTGTCCGCTGGGGTTCAGCGGCCAGCGCTGTGACACGCAGATCGACGAGTGCAGCCCCAGTCCGTGCATGAACGGCGCCACGTGCGTGACCAGCGGCAACTCCTTCCACTGCCAGTGCCCGTCGGGCTTCGCGGGCAAGCGCTGCGAGCGCAACATTGACGACTGCCAGGGCAATCCGTGCCTCCACGGCGGCACGTGCATCGACATGGTGAATCAGTTCCGCTGCCAGTGCGTACCCGGGTACATCGGGTCACTGTGCGAGAACAAGGTGGACCTGTGCCTCACGAAGCCGTGCGCCAACGGCGGCACGTGCACGAACCTGAAGAACGACTATCGCTGCACGTGCCGCGCGGGCTTCACGGGCCGCGACTGCAGCGTGGACATCGACGAGTGCGCGTCGGCGCCGTGCCGGAACGGCGGCACGTGCGTGAACCGCGTGAACAGCTTCCACTGCATCTGCACGAGCAGCTTCGCGGGTCTGCAGTGCGAGCAGGAGTTCAACGCGTCGGCGTGGGACTCGGCCAACATCTCGCGCCACGTGTCGAGCGTGAGCGGCAGCCCGGAGGCGCACAGCGGGCGCAGCGACGAGCTCAACACCGCCCAGATCACGCTCATCGTGATCTTCTCCGTGGCCATGCCGCTGGTCGTGATCAGCGCCGCCGCCGTGGTGATGTGCATGAAGCGCAAGCGGAAGCGCGCGCAGGAGAAGGACGACGCCGAGGCGCGCAAGCAGAACGAGCAGAACGCGTCGCACGGCGGCCTGGCGCACCACAACAGCATGTCGTCGAAGCGCAGCAGCGGCAGCGCGCAGCTCGAGGCGTCGCACAACATGATCAAGAACACGTGGGACAAGAGCGTGAACATGTCGAGCAGCGTGAGTGTGGACGACTGCCTGCTGAATGCGAGCTTGTACGCGGCGGGTCCGCCCGCCGACCCAGAGTGCTACGGGCAGCTGTCGCCGCTGCAGCGCGCGCGGTCGCAGAAGCAGCTCAACACGGACCCGCTGGTGATGCACAGGGCGTCGCAGATCATCAGCTCAACGCCCAAAGACTTCCACGTGGCCGACAAGCGGATATCCGTGCTGTCGGACGCGACGCTGTGCAACACGCGGTGGATGCCGCCCGTGACACGCCAAATGGGGCCCTGCAGCCCGCCGCACATGTAGCCAGGTGAGCGCGCCGCGCATTCCTAAATCCATGACCCCAAAGTGATGATGCTAAATGAACTTTATAAACCAATTTGTATGCGAGTGAGTGTAGAAACTTTGTTTGCGTCTCTCGCACACCAAACGCGCGCGCGCAAGAAGACGAAATGCAGCCGCGGGAATTGACAAAAGAGTGACAAAATCACGGGATAAGTTGAGAGTTGCTATGGCCAGTTGGCTGCCCAAGATCTTCTCCCGCGATCTCGGCCGCGGCCGGGACAGGTGTGAACGAGGAGAAATTGTGCAGAGAGAGAGAGATAGTTTAGTCCTTGCGTGAGAGTTGCTGACGATCATCACGCCAGGTTTTGAGCGATGCGAAGATGAAGCAGAAGACAAGAAGACGGAGAATCATAAGTATTACAATGCGTTATGTGTGTTTGTGTTTTGGTGTGCTTAAAAAAAAAACCGTAGATTGCGTATAATTTCCTCTACTGTTAGCTTATTATTTAAAATAATAATAAATCATTAGTTATTTCTATTGTTTAATTGTATTGCCACAGCTTCGTCGCTCTCTTTTCCGCGATATTTTCGACGATGCGTCGCGCGGACTGTCGAAATAGAGAGAAAGACAATGAAAAACCATCCAATTACATGCAATCATTCGGGAGAAAATTAAAAGTACACCTCAATTACCATTTGGCAAAATCACCCAAGATGACAATTCATGAGAAATCGACTCACAATAGCGAGAAAGAGAGAGAAAGAGAGAGAGAGAGACGAACTAATGCAATTCAACATGTGAAATCTCATTAAAAAAAAAACAGTGTTTTTTAGTGGTTTAGAAGGAAGAAAATTGGAGGAAAAGGCGCGCTTTTTTTGAGTTTTCGTACTGAGTCAGTTTGGAAGTTCTGCTGTGCAGAATTTGATGCTTTTCTCGCCACTTGAAAGCCTTATCCCAAGGTCAGGTCTAGGCGCCAAAATCTCAAGACTTTGCGGCTGAATTGAGAGCGAATCACTTTGCATGGGATTTGTTTTACTCTCAGTTTTTTTCTTTTTAATTCCGATATTATGATTTTCTTTTTTTTGTGTATAGAATTTGAGCGTGAGAGAGAGAGAGAGAGAAAAGGGAGAAAAAGAAAAAGAGTTGGATATATAAAATAAACACTACACAATCCCAAGTATAAATATATATTTTGTAGAAAGAAGTGATTAGCATAAATTACAATTGTAAGTGCGATAATGCATAAATTAGACTCTGTAGGATTTATTCACATACTTTTCAATTTTTCAAAACATATAAGCTACACTATATATATATATAAAAATTGTAATATTGTGATCAAAACGATTTAATTTATAGTAGTTTGTATGTTGTTAGGCATAAATAATAAAAACTAAGTCAACATGTCGAGGCGGAGACGCAAGTTTGATGAAAATGCGACATGAATTCGCACGATAAACTTTTAAATAATCCACAACTTTTTCTCACACTCCACAGAAGGAAAGAAAGGAAGAAAAAAAAACCTAGAATTTGTAAAGGATGAAAAAAAGCGCATTAAATAATATACAATTATTATGATAAATATATAGTGAAAATGATATAAAGAAGGAGAAGAAAAAAAAAGAAACTTCATGAAAAGATGGACTGAAAACAAATTTATTCTTAATGATCTTAAATAGGTATTTAAAAAGGATGTGACAAAAAAAAAATTAAGGAAGAGGAGAAGAAAGGAAGAAAAATTGTGTAACACTTTTTGGATGCGATGATCGTTTTTTCATTCCCGACCGAATATTTGCCGAGAAGATGAGCAAAAAAACCGCAGAAAGAGCAAAAAACCCACAAATTTGTATATTGAAATTTATATGCAAGAAAAGAGATTAATATTAAAATATTTCACTTTTGTACTTAATTCGATATCCAAACATTTGACATGATATTTCCAGGCAAAAGATCAGCACACAAATCACCAAAAAAAAAGAAAGAAGTCAAGAAAAAAAGTTCATATAGAAAGAAATGATAAAGAAAAAAAAGAAGCAGAAAAGTTTATTTCTTTTTCATACGGAACATTCTTCAGCACACATTTGAATAAAATAGAAATTATTTAAATTTTTTCTTTTGTAATATAATTTGTATCATATTTATATATATTTAGCAAACCTTCTTTTTTCTGTGTATAATTAATAGAAACTTGAGATGAGACGACGAATGATGAAGAAAATGGGGAGGAAAATGATCAGCATTATTGTACATAAATTGCATTGCATAAAAAATCCATTTTAAAATACACGAGAGAAAAAAAATTCAATAAAAACATGATATTTGATGAAAAGCCAATTGTGTTCTTCTTCTTCTCTCGTGTGGCGACAAAATTGCTGGATGATCATCAATTAGTGAGCCGATGCTTCGCATTACTCGGCCAGTTAATTGTTATTTAAACATACAAATTAACTCCGAATGGGAGAAACACGTTCAGCAATCGTAAAATACACATTTTTATGGCGTGAACGTGCGTGACGATCGCGATTGATGGCGATCCTCATCGAATTTCTCCGCCGCTGCTGCTGCTGCGCGTCTTGAGAAAACCACCTGATGATTGTCGATCGATTGACGCGCGATGGTCGTTTTTTTTCAGGTCGAGAGCATCAGAATTCCAGTGACTTTTCTTGGGAAGAGAGAAAGAAGGCAAAAACACCCACGATCAGTCGCATTAGCATTTTTAATTTTATTGGTGAATTCTATTTTTTATGGCATCTTAAATTACGACTTTTTCAACACTTCCTGAAGCCAATGGGCGAACGGTAATTTATGCAAATCTCCCCATTTCACCCGAAGCCGTTCAAGGGGAATTGTTCGTTTATTCCCAAAATCGTCATAACTTCATCGCCAGATCACAACAAATATTACGCCAAGGGGGAGATAATACAGTCAGAAGTGGTCGAAAGCATGATATTTTCCTTCCCTGACTTCTCTTCTTTTACCAAGGGGCAAATCACAAGGCGATCTTTGAGGAATCCTTTCATGTTCTCCAATCAAATAATCAATTTTTTGAGTAAAATAATCAAAGAATGATTATTTTTCCAAGTAAAATTGAAAAATAATCAAATTTTGAATAAAATAATTTTAAAAACGAATATTTTCTCAAATAAAATTACAAAAAATCAAAATTACCAAATATTGAATGAAATAATTTAAAAAAAAAGAATATTTTCTCAAGTAAATTTTGAAAAAATAATCATATTTTAAATAAAATAAACGCAAAAATTATTGTTTACCAAAATTAAAATTGCAAAATAATCAAATTTTGAATAGAATAATAATAAGAGAAAAAATATTTTTTAATGTAAAATAGAAAAATATTCAAATTCTATATGAAATATAAAAAAAAAGATTTTTTTTTCAATCAATCAATCAGAATATTCTCAATTATTCAATTATATTCAAAAGTTTGAAAAAGAGTTCAGAAAATAATCAAAAAATAATCCAAATTTTATTTGATTTTTATTCAAATTTTGATTATTTTTTGATTATAATAAAAAAAAAATCAGAATTTTTTTTTCTTCAAATAATCAATTTTTAATCGAATATTCAGAAAGTAATCAAGAAATAATCAAAATTTGAGTAATAATCACAAAATTAATGATCTCAACTTGCGGAGTGATTTTCCCCTTGTCTTTTACTCTCAAATTGAATTTACTCTCCAATCCTTCGGATTTCTCTTGATTTTCACCACAGAAACAATCACAATAATCCTTTTCTAGGTTATGTTAACGAATTAAGAAAAGATTTCAATTTTTTCAAAGTCAGAGAAAGCACAAACAATTGGCAAAATTAAGCATTTACATGCAATAAACACTGGCTTTTCAGAACATTTGATGCTGAGAAACACTTCTAATTGTGTTGAACTCGAACATAACCTCAAAAATAGTCACTTGAATGTGGAAAATAGTTACTTAGAAAACTCTTTTAACTATTTTGTCTCTGAATTAGAAGTTTTGAGTTCATTCGCAATTCAGAAGAATCGCTTAAAACCTTTTAAACGGCGTCTTTGAAGATGTTTCAGTGAAATTTTGAGGTTTTAGTCGGAAAAGATGTTCAAAATCAGAGGTTTTCAGTCGATTCTAACAGGGAAATTGAATGGAAACTTAAGAGATTCATAAGAATTTGGAAATTAATCAGTGTTCTGAAGTGTTGTACAGATTTGAGGCACATTATCTCCCCCTTGTGCTGCGCCGTGGTGGAATATGGGCGCATGTTGGGCTGAGGAACTGCTCTGTTGGTGTCCCGTTGTGAAATTGAATCGAATTCACGGCTAATTCCACCTCAGGAGGAGTCAACATGTCTTCACATGTGTGACAAATTTATTGACGCGCTGCTCTTGGGAGAATCGCCGAGATGATTCACACAAAAAGAGAAGAAAGATTCTCGCGAACAAACAGTGAAAATTAGTTGGAAGTGTGTTTTATGTAAACATGTGAGTGTTCGTTAAGCTCACACAAAAGGCGGCTCAATTTATAAAATCCGATCTTCTCCATCATGATTTGACCCATGAGCCACGAAAGGTGAAATATTTTCTACAACAGCGCGTCGAGGGAGAGAAAAAAGCAACGATTTTGAGGCGCGCGCAATGATCAGAGAGACACAGATTCCAGGTAAATTAGCATGAGTTGAGACTCTGGAGAAGATGAATTGATCAGGGCCACATCCTAATTACTTGCCAATTAATCGCTTTGCGAGACATTGCGAAATCCATGGGAATGTTTCCGGTCGGATTTCTAACGAGTTCTCGCGGGAATTTCGCAACTTCGCCATGTGATCCAAGTCGTTAGGAATTTTAGTTTATCGCCTCGACTTCAGCGCTTCACGATGTCGATGTGTAGGGGAGAGGGGGGGCAGATTTTATATCATTTGGCATGTGAATGAGATTTTTGCACGAAAATGCAAGCTTTTCTGGGTGTAATTTTGTAATTGATCATAAATTGATTGGATTTTTAGTATGGAAACCCTAAAAATTACATAAATTTGACTCAAGGGGTAGATATTATGGTCAGAAGTGGTGTACAGCTCTTGCTGAAGTGTTAGAAAATCAAAGTGCTAAAATATTCCGAATATACGCACTGCAAAAGCTTCTGTTTCAACAGAATTCATGCATTTTCCATATAATTTTGCTTAGAAAACGATTTTTTTTGCTTTTCTAGGTTATGTGATTCATTTAAGATAGATTTTGGCGATTAAATAACCCTCAAAATCATCAAATTTGTGCTTAAGCTGAGAATATTTCTCTTTTTCTCGGCTGAATTGAGCATTTGTGTTTGAAAATGGTTTCAAAGTCTATCATAACCTCAAAAATGTATTATCTTTTAGAAATATTGAGTTATTCGCCATATTTACTCATTTCCACGTTAGAAAGAATTAAAATTAGTCTAAAAAGAAGTTTTCAGGTCAGATTCATAACCTCACAATTTGACCAGAATTTTTAAAAGCATTTTCCAAAGCCAAAAACAGAAAATCCAGACGCAAATTTATCATGAACGAATCCAGGAATATTAAAATCTATTCTTACGATCTAAAATCTAAGAGGTTAAGAATGTATTGAGATTGTGGAAGTGTTAAGAAGTGGTTTGACTAACTTCACGCTGTTCCCTTGGACAACTTCTGTTGTTAAGAGCTTTCTCAGTCATGTTCTATTACTTAATTTCTTCTTAGAATTGAGTGGCAATGATTAAATCTATGTTCATTATTTATTCCGGAGTATTTGCGTGAAGTTAGCTTCAATTTGAAACAACAACATGTTCCCAGGAGTGAAGAATTCCTTTTGAATCAAAACAATCCTGCGTTCTTCCTATAAATTTTGCGAAATCATTTCGTTTTATGAAAGATCATTCTCTCCTACGATAAGTGACGTGCAAGAATGCGATTTCTTCTTGTTGTGCTGTTGCTCGGATGGGTGTTAAAATACGGCAATCGTCAATTGCACCCTCTTAAATAGAATCCATCACTTTGTGATTGTTTCACTGGTCATTTGCTGAATTGAAATGCATTCACACGGAATCGGGTGCTATTTTTACAATCACTCTAAACATCGCCGCGCTCATAAAAGTTGATGGCGCTGTGATGCGAAAATTTTTCATCAATTTTCACCCGAAGCCAATCATCGAAGCACAAAGAATTCCCACACAGGCGGCGGTAATTGCAGAGTCTGCAGACCTGGTGAGCATCGAGAGTACTTCATTACCCTAATCCTCATCGATTAAGTCATTAGCTTGTGTGTGCCCAAGACGTCTCAGAGCATCCAGAGCATCTCCGCGGCCTCGCTGCGAGCCATCAACGCAATCACAATGGCTCGGAGGCTCTCTGGCAGAACTATGCCAGATCCAGAGAGACCAGAAAAATGTCATCGGGATGATTTTATGCGGAGTAAATCGCCTCAATTTGCATTCGGAATGAGTGTGTTTTGGATGGTTTGCCCAGCTGAGAAGAATATGGCCTGGTTTTTTCGGCC